TGCTACAGTAAAAATTCGTAAGCTGGTTAACAGTATGTTTCCTTTATATATATGGCAAATAACCGTAAATTGACTTTCCTAAAATTCCCTGCATGGCCATGGGATGGACATGGTCAGCAACAATACTAGGTGGGCTGTGGCGTTGACACAATGCATAATCGGTACTAATAGGCCCAAACACAATTTTATTGTTTTCTGTTTAATCCACCTAAATTTGTAAAAACTAATAGGTTAATTTAATTCCCTCATGCTGTCTTACTTACCTTAATTGCTTTTGCAGTTTGAAGTTGATTGAACATAAAACAATTAAGTTGTCCCAAAAAAAATTGTGTTGTTTCTACTCATTTTAAATAAGCAGTTTGAATAGAGAAATATTTCTTGACTGTAATTACAGTTGAAGTCAGAATTATTAGACCCCCATTTATTTTTTTCCCCAATTCCTGTTTAACAAAAAGCTGATTTATTTCCACACATTTCTAATCATAATAGTTTTATTAACTTATTTCTAATAACTAATTTTTTTTATCTTTGCCATGATGACAGAAAATAATATTTGACTAGATATTTTTCAAGACACTTCTATACAGCTTAAAGTGACATTTAAAGGTTTAACTAGGTTAATTAGGTTAACTAGGCAGGTTAGGGTTATTAGGCAATTTATTGTATAACGGTGGTTTGTTCTGTAGACTATCGGGGAAAAAAATAGCTTTAAGGAGCTAATAATTTTGACCCTAAAATTGTGTTTAAAAAGTTAAAAGCTGCTTTTATTCTAGCCGAAATAAAACAAATAAGACTTTCTCCTGAAGAGAAAATAATATCAGACATACTGTGAAAATTTCCTTGCTCTGTTAAACATCATTAAAGTAATAATTAAAAAAGGGAAAAAGAAATGAAAGGATGGCTAATAATTCTGACTTCAACTGTATGTTCATGTTCATGTTTTGTATCAATACAGTAGCTACAAACAATGAAGTGTAGCATAGAATTGATAAGACCAACTGTCATTAGAGCCTCTAGAACACCATCTGGATTTGCAAAATAAGACTCACACGCATAGGCACACATTTCAGGACCACCAACTCCCATTTCCTTTGTTCTCGTGTTTCTACAAAGAATAAGCTCTGAAGCAGGAAATGAAAAAGACTGAAGGGAAAAGGTGGTCTAAGATGAAAAGGAATATGACAGACAGCCCCCCTTTCTCCCTTTCAAAGCACATACAAAAAAGCAACCAAACACGAGAGGTGATTTTACCTTTTCTTTCTTTTAGGACTCTTTGTTCTCCTAAAGAATTTCATGATGTCTTGTGTTAATTAACTGTGGAAAATGAGACAGAATAGAACGGGACTGCTAAAGAATGCCAGACACCTATTTTTATTTTTTTTAAATCTACTTCATAAACAAAAAACAATTACGAACTGCTTTACGAATAACTGACACATTTAAGTTCTGAAGAAAGCTTACAAGAGTACATGTTATGAAGCAAGAAACCCTATTTGGGCTTGAACACACAAAAAAAGATTATTTGAAAAAGCTGTAGCTGGCACACATCCATATTAATTTAGCCACTTTTCTGTAAACTACTCAAAGCAGGGTGTACATGCTTTCATGTTGTTGATGCAAAATTCTGACCCTACCATCCAAATGTCCAAGCAGAAATCGAGACTCTTCAGACCAGGCAATGTTTTTCCAATCTTCCATTGTCAAATTTTGGTGAGGCTGTGCGAATTGTAGCCTCAGTTTCCTGTTCTTAGCTGTCAGGAGTGGCACCCGGTGTGGTCTTCTGCTGCTGTAGCCCATCTGCCTCAAGGTTGGACGTGTTGTGTGTTCAGAGATGCTCTTCTGCAGACCTCGGTTGTAACGAGTGGTTATTTGAGTAACTGTTGCCTTTCTATCAGCTCCAACCAGTCTGGCCATTCTCCTCTGACCTCTGACCTGGCATTTGTGCCCAGAGAACTTTCTCTTTTTCAGACCATTTTCTTTAAACCCTAGAGATGGTTTGTGAAAATCCCCGTAGATCAGCAGTTTCTGAAATACTCAGAACAGCCCATCTGACACCAACAACCATGCTATGTTCAAAGTCTGGTAATAAATACTTACATTTTTTTATTTTATTATTTTTTTTGCATTTTCAATCTGTCTTAACTTTTTTGATTTGGGGTTGTAATTGTCCACCTCTGTGTACCCTGTTTGCGTTAACATTTCCCTAAATCTAACGCGCCTTCAAATAAAGGGCATTTCTGAAATTGCTGCATTAATCTAAAGTTGTCACTAAGATACAAAGCAAAGTCTCAAACTCCTACACACTCCCTGTGGCGGCTCCATAAACACTTCTCCATGTGCAATCATAATCAAGACTTTCCCCAGTGTCACTTTGAATATAAGATGTGCATGTGGATCTGTTCTGAGGGTTAGTCATGCTAATCAGTGGAGGACAGTGGGGGTGTTTTGCTTGCTGATTATGCCAATGAGAGGACGACTAAGGACCACTCAAAAATAACTTCAACAAGCTCAGCATTAACATTTTAAAGTTAGAATTTGTGAAGCTGGAACCCTGATTCGAATCCTGACTGAAAAACTAAACACTCACAACAACAAGCACCAGTGACCTTCGATGACCATGGAGACACAATGATTATTGGTGTTAAAATTGTGCCACCTTGTGGATGAAACAGTAACTGTTAACATTACTATTAACTGTATATAGCCTACTGAAACAGCTGTCTTGCTTGTAACTAAATATTGCAACATTACTGTTTATTTAAGAGGCGTTTCACTTTTTTGATAATCAGCATATTGATATTTTTTAAAAAATGTGCATTGGAATGTATTTTAAGACACCAAATCCATATGGTGGAAAATAGACCAAATATACAGTAGCCTATATTAAAAGAACACTGCACGTTTTGAAAGCAGGCTTATATTTCAACTTCCCTATAAACAGTTGAGTTTTACCATTTTTGAATCTGTTCAGTCGATCTCTGTGACGGGCATGAGCGCTTTTAGCTTAGCATAGCATAGGTCATTGAATCAGATTAGTCTATTAGCATCTCGTTCAAAAATTACCAAAGAGTTTTTATATTTTTCCTATATAAAGCTTGAAACTTCTGAAGTTACCAGTTACTTCTGTAGTTACTCTGTAGTAAGACTAAAAGAAAAGGAAACGTTGCTAGTTAGTTCAATATGTCTAGGAACTAGTGTGTTTCTGACGTAATAATCATATAACTTTTATTATGTAAAATGACTGCAGCCGGCACAGTGATATTACACTGTCTGAAAATAGTTCTGAATCATCACTCACAAATGTCTCCATGGTTGCAAGATTCTCAGGCGGCGCATATTTTTGAGCAAGATGCTAATGGTCTAATCCAATTTAATGATTTATACTAAGCTAAGTGTTCACACCAGACCCAGATTTGGTAAACAAAAAATTGGTAAAAATCAACGTTTGGTGTTGGTAAGATTTGTTTGAAAGACATCTGTTATTTCCAAAAAAAACTACATTTCGACTGACAATAAAAACGTAAAAGTAACATTGTACACATATATACACTACCTGACAAAAAGTCTTGACGTCGATTCCAGTTTTAGGAGCAACTTCTAGTTGATCATTTGGAAGTGGCAGTAGGTAGATTTTTCTGATGAATCATCTGTTGAGCTGCATCCCAATCATCACAAATACCGCAGAAGACCTATTCGAACACCCAAGATTCATTCGTTCATTTTGTGGTCGGCTTATTCCCTTTATTAATCCGGGGTCGCCACAGCGGAATGAACCGCCAACTTATCCAGCAAGTTTTTTACGCAGCGGATGCCCTTCCAGCCGCAACCCATCTCTGGGAAACATCCACACACACATTCACATGCACACTCATCACTACGGACAATTTAGCCCACCCAATTCACCTGTACCGCATGTCTTTGGACTGTGGGGGAAACACATTCAGTATGGGGGAGCACCCGGAGGAAACCCACGCGAATGCAGGGAGAACATGCAAACTCCACACAGAAACGCCAACTGAGCCGAGGCTCGAACCAGCGACCTTCTTGCTGTGAGGCAACAGCACTACCTACTGCGCCACTGCTTCGCCCACACCCAAGATTCTCATAGAAATCAGTCAAGTTTGGTGAAGGAAGAATCATGGTTTGGGTTTACATACAGTATGGGTGTGTGCGAGAGATCTGCAGAGTGAACGGCAACATCAACATCCTGAGGTATCAAGACATTTGTGCTGCCCATTACATTACAAACCACAGGAGAGGGCAAATTCTTCAGCAGGATAGCGCTCCTTCTCATACTTCAGCCTCCACATCAAAGTTCCTGAAAGCAAAGAAGGTCAAGGTGCTCCAGGATTGGCCAGCCCCATTACCAGATATGAACAATATTGAGCATTTCTGGCATAAGATGAAGGAGGAGGCATTGAAGATGAATCCAAAGAATCTTGATGAACTCTATGAGTCCTGCTAGGCTTTCTTTGCCATTCCAGATGACTTTATTAATAAGTTATTTGAGTCATTGCAGAGATGTATGGATGCAGTCGTCCACGCTCATGGTAGTCATACTCAATATTCATTCTTTTTCCACTGCACCATGACTTTATATTCTATACTGTACATAAGCAGCCATCAATCAATCAATCAATCAATCAATCAATCAATCAATCAATCAATCAATCAATCAATCAATCAATCAATCAATCAAGCAATCAATCAATCAATCAATCAATCAATCAATCAATCAAGCAATCAATCAATCAATCAATCAATCAATCAATCAATCAATCAATCAATCAATCAAGCAATCAAGCAATAAATTCGAACTCTAAACCTTCATAACGTAGTATAGCTTTACTTTTGGGCAGTTTACATTTTAATTCATTGTATTAATTAATTAATAAATTTTAATAACTCAAAAAAAAAAGAAAATAAAATCTGACAAACTAATGAGTAACTTGTTTCTGGTCAAATAAAAATACATTTGCAGATAATAATTGAACAATACATTAAAACATGTTTCTTGTTTATTATGTACTACTAAGAAATACATTTACAGAAGAATCAGAGCACTGTGCATTAGACATACACAACAATAAAACTGTTTCATTGAAATCATTTTAAGGAATACATTTTCATTGTATTATTTATAAGTATTATTGTTTTGCATAATTTCAAATGAAAAATTAACCGAGACCAAGCTAAAAACAAAACATTAAACAATTTGTAAAATAAAATTACATTCATGCAAGTGGCTTGCGATCTTCATCTTGTGTTTGTGTTTCATATGTTGTGCTGTTTATGCTCCAGATTTTTTAATAGACACACATTTAATAGAGGAGACTATTCTCTTACTAGCAATGTTTAACACATACAGTAAGTACAGATTTAATGAGAACACTTTGACGTGATTGCTTTTCTGCATGAATGGCTCATTGGGATCTGATCCAAATTAATAAACTAAGTACACTGTTTAGAGTGCCAGTATGCCTCTGTAAGATCTAAGCTGATTAAATGCTGGTAGCACTTTATTTTAGTCCTGTTTTCATGTACGTCTACTTATAATAGACAACACATAAACTCGGTAATAACTAATAAACCTACCCCTGAACCTAACCTTAACCCAAACCCAGTACTTTCTTAAAGATCCCCTAAAATCAAAATTAAAGTTTGTTTTTGAGGGGTGTTAGTATCCGTATGTCAGTTTTAAGATTATCCATAAGCTAGTGTGCTTCAAAACAATGACAAAATTCATGTTCACAAGATGATGATGATTAGCCAAACAGTCGACGCCGACTTTCGGCCACTTTATGGATCGTAATTTGCCACGCTTTCCTATTTCTGTATGCTTCTTTCAGTTGTTCCATTTTCAAGTTCACTTCAGTCTTGATTGTGTCCAGCCATCGTGTTCTCTGACGCCCTCTTCTTCTCGATCCACTGACTGCTCAAAGCATTAAAGCTGTTTCCATGGAGTTGGCTCGCATGATATGACCAAAGAACGAGAGACGCTGCTTGGTGATTTTGCCCTCTAGCGATACATTTTGTTTGACACGCTCCAGAATCGTTTTGTTTGTGATCCTCGCTGTCCATGTATTATTCGCCTCCAGCACCACAATTCGAAAGCATCGTTCACAAGATACAAACATTCAAAACCTGCCTTTCGTCATTGCCGCCAAAATAAGTGATCAATTTTTATTAATTTACCTCATGCTTTAGTTTCTTATCAAATCTTCTGACCAATCTAATGCTCTCTGTGGCTCAAATTGGTCATGTATTCACATTAGCAAACATTCATAAGAGAATAATAACCTATACTTTTTTTGTGGTTTACGAGGACGCAAATGTGTATAGAATGTTGGTATTACAACACTGAGTTGATTTACGAGGACATGCCGTGTGTCCTTGTAATACAAAACTCTTACAAATCATACTTAATGTGGTCTTTTCACATTCGAAATTTGTCACAGATTTCATGTAAGGGTTGGATTTAGGGCCAAATATTAAGTGTTTTTACAGTATAAAATACATTACAGCTGTGGAGAGTGCTTGTAAACCACCAAACCATTGTGTATGTATCGGTTTTAGTGGTACATGGCTTGTGTCCTCATAATGTAAATGCTTTAAAATCATATTTAAGCTTTTACATTTAAAATTTGCCACAGGTTTCCTGTGACGGTTGGGTTTGGGGGCCGTATGCGTTTTAACAGTATAAAATTCATAACCATTGTGGGGAGTCCTCGTAAACCATCAAAACTAATGTGCGCATGTTTACTGGTTTTAGGGGTTTATGACTGATTAATAAGATGTATATGACATTGGTATTATAACACTAAGTTGATTTATGAGCACATGGCTTGTGTCCTCATAATCCAAATGGTTAAAAATAAGATTTAAGCTTCTTTGCATTTAAAATTTGCCAGAGGTTTCCTGTGAGAGTTTAGGGGTCGTAGGCTGTTTTTACTGTATAAAATACATTATGTCGATGTATTGTCCTCGTAAGCAACCCAAACCTATGTGTGTGTGTACTGGTTTTAGTGGTTTATGAGTGGGGATGATATGGATATGACATTGGTATTATAACATTAAGTTGATTTATGAGCACATGGCATGTGTCCTCATAATTCAAATGAATAAAAATAATACTTTTTTCACATTTAAAATTTGACACAGATTGCATGTAAGGGCTGGATTTAGGGGTAGGGCCAAATATTAAGTGTTATCGCGTCCAGTGAAGCAGATTTTGATGCATAATTGAAGCTAGTAAACTCAAATGTTGACGCATCTATTTACGTGCGAATTGCACGATTTATCCACGCGTTCCGCGTCTGGTGTGAACACAGCTTAAGAGGATTCCTTGTTCTCGAGTCACATAAAAGATTTGTTCAAAATGAATGAATCATTCAAGAATGACCCATCACTATTGAATGTTTAGCTTTACGCATGTCAAGGCACTTCAGGGGACCTTTAAGTAAGAACACTACAAGTACCCTTCTAATATTTTAAAATAAAGTGCAATCGAGATGCTTCAGAAATGGCACAGATAAGAAGAGATAATATTGGTCAAAAAGACATTACTTTTCACATTTTATGAGCCATTCCTACAGAAATTCAAGTTCATTTGTCTTAAATATGTGCCTGCACATGCACACACACACAGTAAACACACACATAAACGTCATTCACTCACACTGCAGTTGGATCCTCAGCGTTGGTCGGATTCTGCTCTCATCTTATCTGATTGCTTGCCAAATAATTATGGCAAAGATGGTGGCCACTAGAGACAGGACAAGAGCCAGAATGCACATCCTCTTGCGGGACTTTCTCTAAAATGTGTAAATAAAATAAATAAATCAGTAGTTCAAAACAGTACAGAAACATTGCATATGCAGCTGTTAAATACACCAAAGGTTAAAAGTTTGAAGACTCTTGAAGTCTCTTAGGGACTGATCACATTCGTCTGTTCACATTGCTTTAGATCAGAGCCCGTACGGCCCGCAGGGCGGATTAGGCCCACAAAGGGGTTTAATCTGGCCCGCGAGATGATTCTGTAAAGTATAAAAATGAGCTGCAATTTTTCAATAAACGAAACTGCTATTCCAATTGTGTCCACTGAATAGTGTAATAGCAATTGCAAACTGTTAATTTAATCCAATTCAGAATACTGAATCAGCATCGGTTTCACAGCATTCTCAGACAGAAAGACCACAGTTATGCCCTGCCATACCACACTGAGGCGTTCTCACAAGGAAACGTAACAATTTCACGTTTTGTCAGTTAAGTGGCTAATTTGTACAAGTTCAGTCGTATAAAAATGTATGATATAAAAAAGTAGGCATAGCACCCAACCACAACCCTAAACCCAACCGTCATTGGTTGATAAGCGAATCGTACTAAATTGTACAAATAAGATTGTACGAATTCATATGAATTAGCCTCTAAATCAAAAGTTACGAATTGCCGTACACGAACACTCGAAACACTTTTTTAGAGTTTATGGGCCCTATCATACACCTGGCACAATGTGTGCATTTGCTCTTTACATAGCAAATGCATTTGCGCTCATATGTGCGCCCATAGGCGTTCTGGTCTAAAAAGGAAGGCGTTCTGATGCGCACTGCTGGCGCGTTGCTATTTTGAGAAACTATAATAGATTTTTCATTAGACCAAAACAAACCCGGTCTAAACTCCAGCGCAGAGTTTCGCCTCGCTTACACACTTCTTAATAGCCTACACACAAGATGTAGAGCAATTTGCAAATATCTTTCCATAGGAAAAAAGAATATATATACAGGATATAAATATAAAGGATTAAAATATTACAAAACATATTATTTTCTAGCCTACATAAATATGTAAAATCACTGCTTTTATGTCATCTCGGGAGGCTTTTTCAGTTCATTCATAACAATTTGCTTTTGTATAATGTTATTATTATTAGCAGTATTATTTATTATATCCATATTTATATTTGTTTTATTAAAAACAAGCTTAGATTTGCCCACCTGCAAGTTTTAGACCATATGGGGCACAGCATGTGTTTTAGGATATAACTCAGGTTTTGAACACACTTCGTTATTATTGTTCATTTATTTTTTTGCTGGAAATTAGAACTGAATTTAGAAATAGTTTTGAAACAAATATTTGTATATATAAAGACACCTTGTCTCATTATAACACTGTTCAGTGTCGAACCTTGTGGACAAACTACAGTAAGTAGTGCAAAAACAATTTAAAGCATATGTGTATGTACAATATCGGTCACATTCACTGTAAGCAATTTTTTTTTAAAATGTAGTAGTATTTCACAGTATTACTGTTTTTGTATTTTCATAAAATAAATGCAGCCTTGTTAACACTTGTGTGCTGTTGGGGATGTTTTCATCACCTCTGGGGTGATTTTGAGTCTTAATTAGGCCACAATTTTCTTTGTGTTTCAGAGAAACTATTATTATTAATTCAACAGTACACGCTGGGCATTTATTTGTGGCTTATTTTGCCACATTGACTTCCACTATAACTACATTTTTTATTGCAAAGCCATGACATATAATCCATACAATCAAGCATTCTTGGTTGTTGCTGGTTTCCCCTGTTGGGAAAAGGTCAAATTAGTAAATTTGTACTGTTGATGGCATCATGGCATTTCCTAGGCCCAATACTTGTGTTAGATGGGCGCATCACGGCCAAGAACTAACCATTCAGGGGGACTATGTGCACCCAATGATTCAAACATTGTATCCTGAAGGCGATGCCGTTTGTCAAGATGGTAATGCAAAAATACACACAGCAGGATTGGTGATAGAGTGGTTTGATGAACATGAAAGGCAAGTCGAACATCTCCCATGGCCTGCACAGTCACCAGATTTAAATATTATTGAGTCACTTTGGGGTTTTTTGGAGGAGCGAGTTAGGAAATATTTTCTCCAATAGCATAAAGTAGTGACCAGGTCGCTATTCTGCGAAAAGAATGGCTCAAATCCCCTCCAACCACTGTGCAGGACTTGTATCAGTCATTGCCAAAACAAATTGATGCTGTATTGATTCTACGCAGACGAGCGGGCGCTGCCATTTGAATCTTTTTGGCACGAGACTTCCGGTCTCATTCACTTCCATTCATTTTTAGACATTAAAAATTGCTCGTTTCGCTGTTTGATGTTGCAAACTGATATTTCCTTGTTATATTATTCTACTTGGTCTGTATAGTCATGCAAACATTTGTTTGTAGAGCAAGTAGTTTGACCGTTTTTTGCCGTTTATTATTCCTAGTCATTTCTCCCATAGGTGACTGAAACGGAAGTTCTAAGACAATCGCGAAAACAGGCGCACTTCCGCATTTTAGAATAAGGCTGCAAAAGGAGGCCCTTCACAATACTAATGAATTATTGTGGTCTTAAACCAGGAGTTTTAATGTCATTGTCCAACCCCTGTATATATAAAGAAATGAATGTCATATAAATGTCCATGGTGAACATACCTGGTAATATGCAGCATGCTGGAGCTGTTCGGCCCCTCGTTCCACATGCACCTCTGCACTCTCTACATTGGCTTCAATGCTATCTGTGTATCATGACATGACAAAACCAGGGTTCAACAAAACAAAATAACTGTGTGGAAATTTAAATGCCTTTTAAAACAGTTTAGAAATAACTAGACTAACCTACCTATCATGTCACCCTGGTCGTGGATCATAACAGCAAGGTCCTTGAAGATTTGATTCACATCCATAATGTCTGACTAAATCAAGACCAGAAAGCAAATAGCACATAATACTTTAAAATCGGACAACTCCCATAAACACAATAGTCTTAATAATTATGTAAGAAATTAGTAAACTAAAAAAAGTGTTTGAATGCATATGAATCTTCAGGACATTACTTATTCTTATTGTTGTTGTTTAGTGATGTTGGATTTTTGTATGTAAGGTGTGCTCACCTCCAGCTGACGGATATTGGTCTCTCTTTCTTTAATAAGCTCAAGGTCCTCTTCTGTGACAGGCTCCTCTTCTGTCTGCATTCTCCAGCCTTCATTCCTTTTCAAATAAAAATAGCTATGAATATTTCAGCTTTCAGATCTTTTACTATTGTATTAATGCATTTAAAAAATAGATACACATTAAAGGTTCCGTGAAGTGCTTTGAATTGTGCATTTTTCTGAAACATGAAGACTGGGCGGGACATATAGTAGCTCCTTATTAAAAAAAAAAAATAGCCAATAGCGTTTAGTTCTATCACAGCTCTGCCAGTGAGAGTGGTTGAGATCAAGCGCATCAAATCAAAAGCAAATGAGAAGCATCTTGAAGGGAGGCAGGGCATGTAGAGAGCATTTGATTGGTTAAAAGATTTGATGAGGAACTGAAGTATGAGGTAAGGTTAAAAAAAGTTGTTCCAAGTGACAAACTGCAAGCTTTGGATGTTTGTATCTACTACATGCAAACTGTATCACTGTTTTTGAGCACACTAGCTTATAGATAGCATTACCACTAACATACTTATACTAACACCTTTTTTTTTCATTGAATGGGACCTTTAAATCAACTTATTATACATACTGTATCCTGTGTTTTGGATGTCTATTTTGATCAAAATAAAGGCTCATGAGGGTGTTGGATGCCTGGGTTCAGTTTAGGGTCAAATAATGTATGAAGGCTAATTAGAGTTAACATTAAGGGCCCTATCATACACCCGGCGCAGTGTGGCGCAAGACGCGGCGCAGTAGTCTGTTGGTAGTTTTCAGCTTGGCGCAAGAGTCGTTTTGAGGCGTTGCGCTGCGCTGTTTAAATAGCAAATGCATTAGCGCTCATTTTTGCGTCCATATGCGTTCTGGTCTAAAAAGGAAGGCGTTCTGAGGCGGACCGCTGGCGCGTTGCTATTTGAGAAACTATAATAGATTTTTCATTAGACCAAAACTAACCTGTTCTAAACTCCGGTGCAGAGTTGCGCCTCGCTTACGCACTGCTTAATACGCACAAGAGAGCAATAGGCAAATATCTTTACATATGAAAAAATTTAAATATTAAGGATATATATAGTATATAATAAGAATAGATTTAAAATATAAATATAAAGGATTAAAATATTACAAAACATATTATTTTCTAGCCTACATAAATATTCTTTATCTCGGGAGGCTTTTTCAGTTCATTCATAACAATTTGCTTTTGTATAATGTTATTATTATTAGCAGTATTATTTATTATATCCATATTTATATTTGTTTTATTAAAAACAAGCTTAGATTTGCCCACCTGTCAGGTTTTAGACCATATGGGGCACAGCATGTGTTTGAGGATATAACTCAGGTTTTTGAGCACATTTTGCTATTATTATTCATTTATTCGTTTGCTGGAAATTAGAACTGAATTTAGAAATAGTTTTGAAACGAATATTTGCGCTTAACAAACAAAATTATTTATTTATAGACTAATTGATGTCTGTGCGTAAAGGTTTCCCTATCCAAGAGCGACAGTGAAAGTGATCTATTATCTCTCATTCTCATGCAGTAGATGCTCTGTTTAACAGTTTTCGGTTAAAAAACTGTTAACTGTTTACTAGTGAAGTGCTCATTTTTTCCACTTATACTTACTTTGCGTCCTGTAAATAGCAAATGCGCTCTTGGCGCGATGCAGCGGACTCTTAAAGGGAATTGGAGATGAGACTCTAATTGGTTTATTCTCAAAACACACCTATAACTCATTAAGAAAATAAACTCAACCCTTTTAGAACATGCGCAAGGCAGATTTCCCGTCCTTAAATTAGCAAAAACGCGTCCTGACACGCCCTGAAAGCGTTTGCGCCCTGCGTTTTGCGCTCTGCGCATGGACCGTCGAAATAGAGCCCTAAAGGTGGAATATGTAAGTTTGACATCCAGTGGTTCAATTAGGGATTGCACTCCTGGTTCAAAACACATTTTCACTCTGCCCCTGCTCTGATGACCACACGCAAGCGCAGTTTGTGATTTGATGACATCAATAGGAGCGAGTCTGACTACCCTAAAGGCTGATTTAAATCTTGTTTTAAATAAAAGCAACGGCACGTGATAGAAAGAATATTTGCCATATTAAAATGAGTTTTTGTCCTAACAAACCCCTGACAGTTCTATTTTAGAAACAACTTCTACTGTATTTCTCACAGGTGAACAACAGAAAACTGTTAATAATCACCTAAGGTACAAATCATGTGCTTTATTCAGTGTTAAATGCTAACAATGTGAGTTTGAATGCCATTTTACATGCCATTTATTGCTATTCTACTGAAAGCAGCAGCAGATAGTTTACCTCAGATCTTGAAAATAAAATAAACCGTTTGAGATTGAACTTTAGAACTGTGATTCAGTTCAAGTCAACCCATATCAGTGATTCAGCATGTACATTTAATAATGTTACAGAAGTTAAATATTTAGTAATTAGATTGTATACCTAACCAAAATATTGGAGTGCAGTAAGTGCACTATTCTGTGCTTCTGAATGGCTGTATTTTAATTTCCGTTTGTGTTGCGTGTGGTGCAAACAGCCAAATTGGTTATCACAGCAAATCTCGTCAAGTAGCATGTTGTTAGGACACAGGGTTACACTAGAACATGCTCACCAAATGTTTATGTTTGTAATATTTATATTATTTGCTAATTAATAACCACCTCATGTGGAACTCATTCACTCTCATTTCGGAGTCTGCCACTGTCCACCAGAGGTCGCATTTTTGGTCACGTGCACATACTTTAGAAGCTTTAATGACTAAATGAATCAAATATGTAGTTTTCCACCAAGACAACCCGGGAGGATTGCAATTTAATTGGGTAAACTGGCATTCTGCGGGTTAAAGGGACCAAAACAAAGACATTCCGGCATGGAAAACACATTTTCAAAGCAGAATATTTGAATTTAGCATTGTAATTCTGATAAACAAGAATGTTCACTTAGCATATTTCTTAAGCATCTGTATATATAAATTTGGGAAAGGCATGAGGGTGAATAAACGATAACATTTTCAGATCTTCTGAGTGAACAGTTACTTAATTGTGTCACAAACAAATAAGCTAGACCTACTTTTCAAATGTCACAAGCTGCTCATCTTGATTGAGCTCATCCACCTGCAAAATAAAAGCCATTTTTAACCATGAAAACTACTTTAGATGAATTCACATCACATACTACTTAACTAGGTACTCTACTATTTGTATTTAAATGTGCTTCATGAAATGTAAATTCTATATAGTATAAATGTGATTATAATGATTAGGTGCATCCCAAATGGCATACTTATGCACTATTCTACACCATTTTGTAGTATAAATAGTGTAAGTAGAGGGTTTACACTGAATAATAATAATAGTAGGCGAGGAAGTGGCGCAGTAGGTAGTGCTGTCGCCTTACAGCAAGAAGGTCGCTGGGTCACTGGTTCAAACCTCGGCTCAGTTGGCGTTTCTGTGTGGAGTTTGCATGTTCTCCCTGCCTTTGCGTGGGTTTCCTCCAGGTGCTCTGGTTTCCCCCACAGTCCAAAGACATGCAGGGTAGGCTAAATTGTCCGTAGTGTATGAGTGTGTATGTGAATGTGTGTGTCGATGTTTCCCAGAGATGGGTTGCGGCTGGAAGGGCATCCGTTGCGTAAAAACTTGCTGGATAAGTTGGCAGTTCATTCCGCTGTGGCGACCCCGGATTAATAAAGGGAATAAGCCGACAAGAAAATGAATGAATAATAATAATAAAAATAATAATAATAATAATAATAATAATAATAATAATAATAATAATAAGTGCACTTTAATTACACAATAATACACTCGTTCAACTGGTAAAATGAAGTGTGAAATGGGAATGCCAGACCGCATAACTTTAATTATTTTGGATTGTAAAAGCAAGATTCTCCTACAAGAGTGATTATGGCGCCTCCGATGGTGAATGCGGTTATACTCATGGCAGGTAATATTTGGTCATTTATTTCACTAATTTGGCAACCGACAAACGTCATCAGGGAAACGGTTTGAATTTCCGCTTAGTAAAAAAACATTAGTGTTCCAATTGGGATGACACTACATGCATATACTATGCTGCTAAGTGTGTAAGTGCATAAGTACAAAGTGCACTAGTGTATAGTGTGCCATTTGGGATGCAGTGATTGAAATCCAGACACACTTCATCTGCCATTTTGTCATTGTCACATGACCATCCCATGTCAGTTTAGCAACTTCACTCTCATTCATAAACTCTACCTTGTGGCATCACAGGATAATAAAGTGTCCATTTGAAGCACACTTCAGAGTCTTGCCAGAAGTAGTATGTCAACTGAGTACTCTTACTGTTTTTCTAATGTTATACATTTGAAACAATGTAATTATTTATCTATCCTCTTGTTAAGTGTGACATCACGCAAAGCGGCTTACGGGTCCAAGGGATCTATCAAATTGCATAGGGAGACTCATCAAATGTTAATAATAAACGTTTTCAAAACGCTGTAATACTTTCGAAAATTACGATCGCAATATATATATAAAGTGGCGGTTGAGTTTATTTTTCAGCTGTTACCTGGAATCTGGATCCAGCTCGTGCCCTCGCAACTGATTCCCGCTCCCTCTCTGCGGCTCGCCGTTGGACCACTTGGAAATTGTTGAGAGCAGCTGAGAAGTCATTCATCAGCCGGTCTTTCTGAATCCTCTGCTGACGCTGTAAAGAGCATTAGGATTAGCACATCTGGTCAATATGGCGCGAGCTGCAGGTTGATAATAGAGGGAGGAGGGGGGTGGGTAGGGAGTAGAGTACACTCACCTGTTCTGAAGGGGACTGTGGCTGTGGTAAAGTGCCCAGGTCTTTCAGGTGTCTGTTGGTCTCTTTTGCTAACTGGTTTGTGTAGTGCTGCACTTGCTGGCTGTTTGCAACACAAAGAGATTTGAGCCAATGTAATGTATGCCAGCACAATTTAAATTTTACATTGAAAAAAAAAAATTATATGGCCCTACCCCTAAACCCAATGCAAGAAACCCGTTGCAAATTTTGAATGTCAAAAAAACATCTTAATAGAGTACAACTAAGGCGACACACCAAGCTGACAGTTGGCCATTGGGCTACGTTAGTCCGACTATTTGATTTGGTGTGCTCCACACATTGCCTCCCATTAGGTTAACTTCGGAATTCATTGGCCCAATTCAGCATGTCCAATCGGCGTCATCCGTCTGCTAAGGAGAGCACTCTAACTGGTTATTTTGCAACGAATCAGAGCGCGAGTGTGATGTAGTGACATGACATAGCAAGCAAACAATACTAATCAAGAAGAAACACAGAGGGAGTGACAATTACGGTGGTACTTAGCTTTGTTTGAGCTTTGCATATCTGTGTCGTAAGCTCAGGTTACCCATTGTGAATGAGAAAACACATATAGCCCTCTGTGGAAGTGCACGTGTTATTGCACAGGTGCAGAACTTGCAACGATTTGGTCCAAACCGAACCAGACGTGAGCCGACGTAAGGCAACAACTCAGCTGGGTTTTGTCAGCTCTAGTTGTTTGGTGTCGACTTGATGTATACCGGCCTTTAGTCATTGAACAACTTAGTGTAGCTATAAACCACATAGACCTGTACACCAACACCCCCCTCCCCCTCTTGTGGCTCTGATGTGATGAAAATAACGGCACTCACAGTCTGTCCTGAAGTTCAGGTGTGTCTGGTCTCGTGCCAAGTTGGAACAGCATGCTCTTGATTTGGCCAGCTATGCACAGAAAATGTGAGACATTATAAAAGGTAAATTATATACACACACACACATAAATGCATTTATAATTTAATGCATTTTATTCATTCATTTATTTTCTTTTCCAATTAACACTTGGATGTGCCAAAACTTTCTTCAGTTGAACAAAGAGAAAACTGAAGTCATTGCGTTTGGGAACGGAGATGAGGTTCTCAAGGTGAATGCGTACCTTGGCACTAAAGGTCAAACGACAAAAAATAAGATCAAGAATCTTGGTGTGACTCTGGAGTCAGATCTGAGTTTCAATAGTCATGTCAAAGCAGTAAGTAAATCAGCATACTATCATCTCAAAAACATTGCAAGAATCAGAATGCTTTGTTTCCAGTGAAGTAACTTCTTCATGCTTTTATCAGCAGCAGGGTGGATTACTGTAATGGACTCCTCACTGGCCTTCCCAAAAAGACAGTGAGACAGTTGCAGCTCATCCAAAATGTTGCAGCCAGGATTCTGATCAGAACCAGAAAATCAGAGCACATCACACCTGTCCTCAGGTCTCTACACTAGCTCCCAGTTACATTCAGAATAGACTTTAAAGTATTGTTACTGGTCTATAAATCACTAAATGGCCTAGGACCTCAATACATTTCATATATGCTCACTGAATACAAACCTAACAGATCACTCAGATCTTTAGGATCATATAAACTAGAAGTTCCGAGAGCTCAGTCAAAGCAGGGTGAATCCGCCTTCAGCCACTATGCCCCCCGCTGCTGGAATCAGCTTCCAGAAATGATCAGATGTGCTCCAACATTAGGCACATTCAAATCAAGACTGAAAACACATCTGTTTAGCTGTGCCCTTACTGAATGAGCACTGTGCTGCGTCGACAGATCGCACTATTATGCTTTTCTTTTCTTTTTCATTATCTTATAACATATTTTAACACATTTTTATCTGTTTTATTTATTTTTATTCGTATTTTTATAATTCTTATTATTTGTTTTTATTTTCTTACTCTTGTTTCTTTTATTCCTGTTTATGTAAAACACTTATAATTGCCTCTGTGTATGAAATGTGCTATATAAATAAACTTGCCCTGCCTTGCTTTTCCACTTAGTCCCTTTAACAATACGGGGTCGCCACAGCGCAATGAACTGCCCATTAATACCTATTCAAACTAAATAGTTAAAGATTTAACAGATAATGCAATCTTTTCTTTAAGGAACTCTTCGCCAAGTGAAAAACATAATTCATAATTTACTCATCTTGAAGCCATCCTAGATGTACTGTACAACATGCCTTTCTATTTCAGACAAACACAGAGTTATTAAAAAAAAAAAACTTCCCATATTTTTTATAGGATTTGATGCTGCCCCAGTTTAAGATTTCCATAAAAATAATCCATATCACTACAGCGTGTTATTCAATGCTCTCTAAGGGGAAAAAAATCTGTATTGACATACAGTAAGAGCCAAGCTATCACATATGAAGTAGGACATAAACATGGATAATTTTAATATAAATAATAATACAAATGTACAGGATATCCAAAACTGCCAAAATTCTAATTTAAGATTTACACTATTTCATCGAGTAACATGTTTCTGGATCAATATCTGTGTTTCCAATCAGCCAATTAGATTTAAGGAATACGTTTACAGTTATGTTTAAGTTTAGGCTTACATTTAGGGTTATACAAATCTACATCAGTATATTAATCCCCTCTGATTTTGGGAATAATTTACAGTAAGGGTTAGGCTTATCATACATAGGCTACTTCCCTTGAGAATGTGCAAACTGGAAAAGCATTAAATGTGGATATTTTTCTGACAAAAACTAATTCCTTCACTACAGAAACCATCTTTACCCATGGAGTCGTCATGTGGATTATTTTTTTAAAATTGATGTGTATGTGTAGAAAAAAAAATCAAGCCAGAAAATTACTTTGTGTCATTGTTTTTGTGCTTGTCTAAAAGAAGAAAGGTGTCTTCAGGGTCAGTAAACTGTTTACACTGCAAAAAAATGCTTTTCTTACTTAGATCTTTTGTCATGTTTCTAGTCCAAATAGCTAAAAAATTCCTAATTTAAGAATAATTTTCTAGACAAGCAAAGCATATTGTCTTGTATTGAGAAATAATATTCCAATATTAAGTGAGTTTTTCCTTAATACAAGCAAAATAATCTGCCAATGGGGTAAACAAAATAATCTTACGTCAAAAGAAAAAACAAGATTAATTTGCTTACCCCATTGGCAGATTATTTTGCTTGTTTTAAGGAAAAACTCACCTAATATTGGCATATTATTTCTCAAGACAATATGGTTAGCTTGTCTAGAAAATGCTTCTTGACATAATAAATTTTAGATATTTAGACTAGAAACAAGACAAAAAATCTAAGCAAGAAAGGCATTTTTTGCAGTGTAATTGCACGCATTTCATTTAAACGATCACTTAAAGTGTGTCTGCAATATATCTACTTACTGTTTTGTGTGATTTTCTGGATGTTTGAGCTGCATGTCTGCGTGAGGTTGTTGAAATCTCTCGGCTGTGACTGTGAGTGGCTGCTGTCCATCATTCCGTAAGACATGATGACTGAAAAACAACAGCTGCATGATCAGATGCCATAAATCACATTCACTTTAGGTTAACTGTGTTCGCGCATTAAATATAAATAAACGACTTATTTTATGTACAGGTTACACATTTCTGAAAATAGCAGTAGATAAAACACGTAAATGAATAAACCTGAAACAAATACAGAAAATGTAGGCTACTGCGTACGCAACGCAACACATTTCACGTCGGTAATGGCTCAGCAGGCCTGTCGCTGCAATAAAACAAGGACTAATTATGTACGTCTGAAATTATGTAAATATGCTTGCACGAATGTCAACAAAGCGAACGGTTTCAATACGTAAAGAGTGAGAATGAATCGCATACCTGTAACTGTGATGCTCAGATGCGGCGGCGATGCGCTGCTCCTCTCACAGAAATCGAAATGAATAGAAAGGAAACACACGATCATAGCGGTAACACTAATAGGCGGAGCTTAGATTTCTGTTTTGACGGGTCTACTTTAACTTATTTCTTTTATTTGCTTTGTTAATGTCGCTTAATGTTAATGTTATTATTATTATTTCTATAATGTGCAAATTATTGACTAGATAATATGACTAGAATCACGCTGGACCATTACAGCTGTCATGTGTTACTTTTGGGTTTTGGCAGTGAAACAGCCTAGCCTACTATATTCAAGTGTATTATACATAGTATAGCTTGTTTATAACTTTGTTAATGAATGCCACAGTAGTAATACAGTGTGTATATACACTTTATTAGGTACACCTGTATTTTGTAGACACAGTTAAGACGATCTGCAGCAGTTCAAACCGAGCATCATTATAGGAAAAGAAAGGTGATTTAAGTGACTCTGTATATGGCACGTTTGTTGGTGCCAGACCGGCTGGTCTGAGTATTTCAGAAACTGCTGATCTACTGGGATTTTCACGCACAACAATCTGGGTTTACAGAGAATGGTGCGAAAAGAGATAATATCCATTGAGCGGCAGTTCTGTGGGCGCAAATGCCTTGTTGATGCCAGGGGTCAGAGGAGAATGGTTAGGCTGGTTCCAGCTGATAGAAAGGCAACAGTAACTCAAATAACCACTCGTTACAACCGAGGTCTGCAGAAGAGCATCTCTGAATGCACAACACGTCCAACCTTGTGGCAGATGGGCTACAGCAGCAGAAGACCACACCGTGTGCCACTCCTGACAGCTAAGAAAAGGAAACTGAGGCTACAATTCACAAAGGCTCACCAAAATTGGACAATAGAAGATTGAAAAAACATTTCATGGCCTGATGGCTCTCGATTTCTGCTGCGACATTCAGATAGTCAGAATTTGGCATCAACAAAATGAAAGCTTGGATCCATCCTGCCTTGTGTCAACGGTTGAGGCTGGTGGTGGTGGTGTAATGGTGTATTTTCTTAACACACTTTGGTCACATTAGTATTGTTATTAGTATTGTTGCTGACCATGTCCATCCCTTTATGACCACAGTGAACCCATCTTCTGATGGCTACTTCCAGCAGAATAACAAGCCATGTGATAAAGTGCGAATCATCTCAGACTGGTTTCTTAAACATGACAATGAGTTCACTGTACTCAAATGGCCTTCACAGTCACCTCAATCCAATAGGGCACTTTTGGGATGTGGTGGAACTGGAAATTTGTATCATGGATGTGCAGTCTACAAATCGTGAAATGCTTTCATGTCAATATGGACAGAAATTTTGGAGCAATTCAATCTTGTTGAATCTATGCCATGAAGGATTAAGTCAGTTCTGAAGGCAAAAGGGGTCCAACTTGATTCTAGGTGTACCTAATAAAGTGGCCAGTGAAACAATTCTACTGTATGGTTTCAAAAAAAAAAAAAAAAAAAAAAAAAAAAATATATATATATATATATATATATATATATATATATATATATTTTTTTTTTTTTTTAACCATACAGTAGAATTAAAATGATAATTTTACATAAAATCTAATTATTATTATCTAATATATATAATAATAATTACTGTCATTTTAATTCTACTGTATGGTTCAAAAATGCTATAGTATTTACTAAAAACTATAATAGCCTTTATCAGTGTGGATGAGCATTGTATTAAATGATTGTAAAATATATATTTATTTTATGCGTTTTTTGCCCAATTTATTACCAATGACTCAAATATTTTGAGCCACAGGGCGCCCCCTGGAGGAAGATAACGTTTGTTTAATAGAAAAGCTATGAAATGACAACATTTGGCACCTAAATGTCTTCTACAGAATAATGGCTGGATTCATACTACACGGTTTATGTGCGTGCGTCACACACTTTGCCTTTTGTATACCGTGTTTTATTAATAATGCAGTACAGTTATATCGCCTCTTTCAATGAAAACTGATTTCATTTTTTTCTGTGACTGTAACAGTAGGTCTTATCTTTACTGCACTAATAAATAAGATAGCCTATTTGCACATACAAATGATGAGATAGTCTAATACAGTAAGTAAGTCTGTAGGAAAGAGGCTCTTTGGCAAAGTCAGATTCCTGTCTCATGACTTTCATAGGATAATCACACAAGGCTCTCATCACATGACTTCAGTCACACAAGGGCTTATAGCTTGGAGTGCTTGGTTATAGAGCTAAATATTTGCTATATACTGTTACAAGAATCAAACTTTTTTTTGTTGTAATTTATGTAGCATTTTGAACAAAACATGAAAGACTTACTGAAAAGGTTAGACTATTGTTATGTATTAGTTACTTATTTGCAATTCACAGAAGAGGAATGCAGAATTCCTACACATTGCTTTTTTATTGCTCTGTTTAGCTATGTTTTCATCCAAAGACGTGAATTAGACTTTTGCAAATAAAGGTATGTTGCCATCCAATGAGTCGAAGAGCACTAAATCGTCACTTTTCGGATAAACTGGCTCCAAATATCAAAAATAAAAATGGAATTTGCTGCTTTTGAAGAGGCAACTGTGGGTCTTTTTTCACATTTAATAAATTACTTAAATTACTAGAAGATGAAGACGAAATGTGTGGTTGCTTTTATTTTTGAGTAATCAAAACAACATTTAAGATATTTCACAATTTGGCCGGTCAGCTGGTTTGTCCATTAAGGAAGTCCTATCATGCTTTTTCACAAGATATGTTTAAACAAAATTCCATGACGTTTTTGATGCGCGTACTGGAGTTTATTCGTTAAATGTTATTATATTGTAATTGATGCACATTTTTCCTATTAGATTTTTTTATCCTACTCAACTCTGTGCATCTTTTGTAATGTGTATTTAAAAAAAATATATGTTGTATATTGTGTTGTATCTATTTAGAATTTTTAATGCGATTTCCTAAAATGTGCATAAAAATAGGTGGATGTGTTAATTGCCTCCACATGCATACACTACCTGACATAAGTATAGGTAATAACTTCACTTAGTTGATCATTTGAAAAAGTAGCAGAAGGTAGATTTATCTGATGAATCATCTGTTGAGCTGCATCCCAATCATCACAAATACTGCAGAAGACCTGCTGGAACCCACTTGGACCCAAGATTCTCATAGAAATAAGTCAAGCTTGGTGAAGGAAAAATCATGGTTCGGTGTTACCTTCAGTGTGGGGGCATGCGAGATTTCTGCAATATCAACAGCCTGAGGGATGAAGACATTTGTTCTGCCCATTACAATTCTTCAGCAGGATAGCACTCCTTCTCATACTTCTGCCTCCACATCAAAGTTCCTGAAAGCAAAGAAGGTCAAGGTGCTCCAGGATTGGCCAGCCCAGTCACCAGACATGAACATTATTGAGCATGTCTGGGGTAAGATGAAAGAGGAGGCATGTAAAATAAGTCCAAGAATCTTGATGTACTCTGGGAGTCCTGATAGGCTTTCTTTGCCATTCCAAATGACTTTCTTAATAAGTGATAAGAGTCATTGAAGAGATGTATGGATGCAGTCGTCCAAGCTCGTGGGGTTCATGCACAATTTTAATTCTGTTTCCACTGCAGCATGACTTTATAATTTATACTGTACATTATTTCTGTTACGTAACAAGACTATTGTCTAAGCAAAGTCAGATCTTACTTTCCTAATTAAATAATTAAAAATCAAGGCATGATCATATTTTATTTTGGTAAGATAAGTGTAATCTAGAGGCCTTTGCCTTTCATATAAGCCTATTCTGATACCAAATTATCAACTAGAAGTCAAGTTATTTGTTGGTCCTGAAACTTGAATAGGCAACAAGACAAGGTATTCTGGGCATTATGATTATCATTGTAATATACAGTAATATCATTTGTATATTGTTTATTATCAATTTTCTTTGTTAACTTGACCTTTGATCTCGATTTTCTGACCCAGCAAGCAATAGCCATCATTTCATTTTGAGGCTATCCTGGCTAAATTTAGCCTTGACTACAGAGCAGGCTAACAACCAGATTAATACTAGTGATTTGTTTGTTAGTTTTGTTTTCAATACTAGAAATAAATTTGTTTTACAGTCACTTCATGCTCTTGGCTGTTTACATTCATTTTCCAATTATTAGAATTAAAAATATGTATGTTTAATTGTATTAGCAATAATTTAATTTACGTTCATATATGACCAATTCAGATTTAAATATGGGAGAGATACAGTCAGAATTATTGGCCCCCTTAAAGTTTTTTCTTTCCTTTTTTAAATATTTCCAAAATGATGTTTAACAGAGCAAGGAAATTTTCAGAGTATGTCTGATAATATTTTTTCTTCTAGAGAAAGCCTTATTTGTTTTTTTTTTTTCGTCTAGAATACAATCAGTTTTTAATAAAATAAAATAAAAACATTTTAGGGTCAAAATTATTAGTTTCTTCAAGCTAACTTTAATTTTGATAGTCTACAGAACAAACCATCGTTATACAATAACCTGCCTAATTACCCTAACCTGCCTAGTTAACCTAATTAAACTAGTGTACAGTGTATAAAAGTGTCTTAAAAATATCTAGTAAATTAGTATTTACTTTCATCATGGCAAAGGTAAAATAAATCAGTAATTAGAGATGAGTTACTAAAATTATTATGCTTAGAAATTCGTAGAAAAAAAAAAACTTCTCTCCGCTAAACAGAAATTGGGGAAAAAATAAACAGGGGGCCTAATAATTCAGGGGGTTTAATAATTCTGACTTCAACTATGAAAAAAGAGATAAAAAATAGGTGAATAATTCAAGGAACAAATACTTACACAGTGCTCAGCATAACGGAGAACAGCCTCTTTTAAAAATGAATATTTTGATCCCTTTCTCGGTAAACATAGCCAATATTTTTGGTGCATTTAAACAAAACAGTTTCATTTAACAGTTATTCACTAAAATAAGACTCTGCTTACCTAACATCTTTAGTTATAGAAAGATAATACATTTAATTCGAATGAGTTGTTGCAAAAATTAAAATTACATACTGCAAAA